CCCAGGTGGGTCTCGAACCCACAGGCTCAGGCAATCCACTCACCTCAGCCTCCCAAAGGCGCGGGATTACAGCCTGAGCCACCGAGCCTGGCTCCAAGACATTTTTTAACAGGGAATAAAAACAACTGTGGAACAATATTCTGGGGACAGGGACCCAAAAAAAAAAAAAACCGGAATTTTTTTTTTTGGAAAGCCAACTCCTTGTAGTACCTATAGGCTTCTCCTGCTAGGTAAGTGCTCTAGAAACCTATCTGCGTTAGTGTACCAGCTAGCATTGTTGTGAGAGGCTGCATTTGTCTTCAGTACATTTTTTTTTGGAGATTCTTTCAATGTGTTTGCCCATTTCATGATGGGTGATTTACAAGCGCACCTGCCCACAACACACTGACCAAAAAGGCATGATCCCTGTGTTCCACCCTCCCTATTCATCTGATCTCACCCTAGCAACTTTTCTTGTTTCCCTGGATTAAAAAGTCCTTTAAAGGAAATGTTTTGCCGTTGTGGAAGAGGTGAAACAAAAAGTGGCAGAAGCACTAAAAGACATCAAAATTGACAAGTTCAAAAACTGTTTTGAGCGGTGGACAAAGTATCTTGATAGGTGTATTGCATCAAACAGAGAGTATTTTGATGGTGACTGAAGTTTAAACATGTAAGAACAAAAACACAATTTCTTATAAATAAAATCTGGGGTTTTTTGGGTCCCCAGTGTGTGATGTGATATATAGGTTTAAAAAACCACTACACAGGCCAGGCGTGGTGGCTCATGCCTATAATCCCAACATTTTGGGAGGCCGAGGTGAGAGGACTGCCTGAGCCCATAGGTTTGAGATCAGCCTGGGCAACTAGGCTAGACCTCATCTCTACAATAAATCGAAAAATTTGCCGGGCGTGGTAGCCTGTGGTTCCAGCTACTTGGAAGGCTGAGGTGGAAGGATAGCCTGAGCCCTGCAGGTCATTACTGGGGTGGCTGTGAGCAGCGTGCCACTGCACTCCAGCGTGGGCGACAAAGTGAGACTCTGACTCAAAAAAACCCCAAACCATTATACATATAAACAAAACCTCTATATTTTCTACATGTATATCTTATATATACACAAGCGTATATATACATACGTGTGTGAGAGTATGTGTACATATACAAAAAGGAACTGGGTACATGCCAAAGTAGAAGCAGTGATTACTTCCAAAAGGAGCCTGAGGCAAGGAAGGAGTCCACCTAAAGTCAAAGAGGGTTTCTTTGTCTTTCCCTCATCCAAGAATATTACTGTCCTTTTCCGGCGGCTGAATGCACAATTTATTGGCCATTGTGATGTGTATTCACAATTTGAATGACAGGTTCATCTTTGCAACTAAAAATCATCACCATTTCATGGCCCAAGATGGAATGAAATTTTTTTCTTTTTTTGAGTTGGAGTCTCACTCTGTCCCCCAGACTGGAGTGCAGTGGCCGCTCCTGGCCACCGCAGCCTCGACCTGCTGGGCTCCTGCAATCCTTCCGCCTCAGCCTTCTGAGTAGCTGGAACTACAGGCATGCGCTACCACGCCCGGCTCATTTTGATTTATTGTAGAGATGAGGTCTGCCAAGTTGCCCAGGCGGGTCTCGAACCTGCGGGCTCAGGCAATCCACTCACCTCAGCCTCCCAAAGGCGCGGGATTACAGGCTGAGCCACCAAGCCCGGCTGATGGAATGAAATTTAATGAACATATATTTAATTTTTAAGTTGCAGTAGTAGAACTTTCTGGAGGTACTGAATCTAGAGTAACTGAAATTGAGAGAACACAAAAACATTAGGCAATAAGCTGTGGAAATGCTGAATCTTCGAGTTAAAGTTCATGGGGTTCTATTTCTGATTGACTTTTAGTCTCAAAAATCATTCATTCTTGGTTAGCAAGAGTTTTTGTTAGCTTGTTCAACAGTTTGTCATTTGGTAAGTGGAAATAACGGTTGCCTTCAGATGTGTTTAGATAGGCAATTCTTGATGATTCTGAAAAAAAAGTGGATAAACTTTTAACCTTCTCTTCCTAGACATTAAAGTATGTGTCCTTTGTGGATGAGTCCCACATTAGGATGGTAGACCAACAACTACTTGGGAAAAGTCTGCAAGATGTTAAGGGCCAGGAAGTTCCAGTAAGTTAAAACATTTCAACTTCTTTTTTTTAAACAAAATTTACTATTAAATATTATCACATCTCAGAATTTTGTACAAAGCATAACTCATGAATTTTATCAAAGGAAACATACATAGGTTATCACCATTCAGATTGAAAACTTGGGCTGGGCATGGTGGCGCACACTCCCCCATCTCTACAAAAAAAACCTGAAAAAGTAGCCAGGTGCGATAGTGACTGCCTGCTGTGTCAGTTACTCAGGAAGCTGAGGCGGGAAGATTATTTGAGCCCAGGAGCTCAAGTCTGTAATGAGCTATGATTGCATCACTGCACTCCAGCCTGGGTGACAGAGTGAGATCTCATCTCTAAAAATTTTTTGAAAACCTGAATATTACCAGCAGAAGTCCCTTTTATGTTGCTTCCTATCACAACCCTCCCTTAAAAGCAGTCATTAGCCTGTATCCCAAAATTAATTTTGCTTTTCCTAGAATTTCATAAAAATGGAATCATATAGTATGTACTCAGTCTGTTAAGTACCTGGCTTCTTTCACTCAACATTTGTTTTGTGAGAGTCAGGATGTTGCATGCTAGTTCATTCTCACTGTGTGTAATTCCGTTGTATAAACATCCAATCTATTAATCTATTCTACTGGTGATGGAGCGGTTTTCAGTTTGGGGCTAATGCCAATAACGCTGCTGTGGTAAACACACGACACTCCACTGGGCAATTACCTAAGAGCGGAACTGCCAAGTAGTAAGGCAGCATATGTTCAGTTTCAATGGATACTAACAAACAAGTGCTGCAGGTGGTTGTTTGATTTCTCGTTCTCCCTGGCAGTTCTGGTTCCTGTGCCTCTAACTGCATTAGTTCTCTAGGGCCGCTGTAATGAATGACCACAAATCGGGTGGCTTAAAGCAACAGAAATGTATTCCACCACAGTTCTGGAGGCTAGGAATCTGAAGGTGTTGGCGCGTCCCCCTCTCTCCGAAGGCTTGAGGGAAAGGTCCTTCTTGGCTCTTCCCAGCATCTGATGTTTATGGCATTGGCTAGAGCCTCCATTACAATACTGAACAAAAGTGGTACTAGCAGCCATCTTTGTCTCATTCTCTCTCTCAGGGAGAAAGCGTTTTTATATTTATTTCACCATTCATTATAGTATTTGCGGTAAGTTTTTAGGAATGCTCTATCCGGTAAGAACATTCCCTTTTGTTCCTAGTTTGTTAAGAATCTTTACCATAAGCTGGGCGTGATGGCTCCTGCCTGTAATCCCAGCACTTTGGAAAGATGAGGCAGGAAGATTGCCTGGGCAACAAAGCATTGCCTGAGCCCAGCAGTGGTCTTGAGCATGCCACTGCACTCTAGTCTGGGCGACAGAGTGATAAAAAGCAGTGTGCCTGTACAGGGCACTTACCATGAATGGAGTCTGTAGTGCTCTGGGTGAGTGGGTGTGAAGGCCTAGGATGTCACTGTATACTACTATAGATCTGACAAACGTTGCACACATTTTTTTTTTTATTTTTCTTTTTTCAATAATAAATTAACCTTACCTTACTGTAACTTTTTTACTTCGTAAACATTTCCTTTTATTTTTTTTGAATTGGAGTCTCTGTCACCCTGGCTGGAGTGCAGTGGCTTGCTCATGGCCACCGCTGCCTCAACCTGCTGGGCTCAGGCGATCCTTCCGCCTCAGCCTTATAAATAACTGGAACTCAGGTGTGTGCCACTGTGCCTGGTTAATTTTCTGATTTGTCATAGAGACGAGGTCTTGCCAAGATGACCAGGCTGGTTTCAAACCCCTGGGCTCAGGCAATCCTCTCACCTCCACCTCCCAAAGTGCTGGGATTACAGGCATGAGCTACCGCACCTGGAAACATTTTCATTTTTTTAAACTTTTTGATTCTTCTGTAATAACACTTAGCTTAAAGCACAAACATATTATACAGTGGCACAAATATATTTTCTTTTTTTCTCCTTTATTTTATGTTAAAGGTGTGGGCTACAAGTCAGGATTGGGTGCATAAGTGGTCTATGTACGATGAAGCTTGGGCCCCCCCACTGGTCCTCACTTCGCCAGGTACCCTTAGTGGTGTTATGTGTCCCCCAATCCCTCCCTCCCTTGGCAGTGTCCCAAGTATATTTTCTTTTTTTTTTTTTGAGTTGGAGTCTCACTCTGTCACCAAGACTGGAGTGCAGTAGCACGCTCACCGCCACCCTAGCGTCCACCTGCTGGGCTCCAGCGATCCTTCCACCTCAGCCTTCCAAGTAGCTGGAACTACAGGCATGGGTTACCAATCCCGGCTAATTTTTTATTTATTGTAGAGGTGTGATCTCGCCAAGTTGCCCGGGTAGGTCTCAAACCCACGGGCTCAGGCAATCCACCCACCTCGGCCTCCCAAAGTGGTGGGATTACAGGCTGAGCCACTAAGCCCATCCTATTTTCTTTATATCCTTATTCTATAAACTTTTTTCTATTTTTAAATTTTTTTGTTGTCTTTTTACTTTTCAAATCTTTTGTTAAAAACGGAGACATAAACACACATTACCCTAGACATACACTGGGTCAGGTTCATCAATATCACCGTCTGCCACCTCGACATGCCTAACCCACTGGAAGATCTTCAGGGATAATGGGATAATGACATGATAATGACATACAGAGTTGTCATCTCCTATGATAACAATGCCTTCTTTTGGAATATCTCCTGAAGGACCTGCCTGAGTCTGTATTACAGTTAACTGGTTTTTTTTTTGGGGGGGGGGTCTTTTTTGGAATTGGGTATCACTGTGTCACCCAGGCTGAGTGCAGTAGCATAATCATGGCTCATGCAGCCTTAACCTGGGTTCGGGTGGTCTTCCACCTCAGCCTCCTGAGTAGCTGGGCCTATAGGCACACACCACCATGCCGGGCTAATTTTTTTTTTTTAGAAACGAAGTCTCACTATATTGCCCAGGCTGGTCTTGAATCTCAGGCTTCTGTCTTGGTTTCCCAAAGTGTTGGGATTACAGGTGTGAGCCACCACACTGACATACAGTTAACTTTTTAAAAAAAGGGCTGGGTGTGGCGGCTTATGCCTATAATGCCAGCACTTTGGGAGGCTGGGGTGAGAGGATTGCCTGAGCCTACGGGTTTGAGACCAACCTGGGCAACTTGGTGAGGCCTTATCTCTACAACAAATCACAAAATTAGCCAGGCATGGTAGTGCGCACCTGTAGTTCCATCTCCTTGGAAGTCCGAGGAGGAAGGATTGCCGGAGCCCAGCAGATTGAGGCTGAAGTGCCACTGCACTCCAGCCTGGGCGACAGAGTGAGACTCTAACTCAAAAAACAAACAAACAAATAAATCCAGCACAGTGGCTCAATCCTGTAATCCCAGCACTTTGGGAGGCCGAGGTGAGAGGATTGCCTGAGCCCGCTGGATTGAGACCAGCCTGGGCAACTTGGCGAGACTTCATCTCTCCAATAAATCAAAAAACTAGCCAGACATGGTGGTTCCAGCTGCTTGGAAGGCTGAGGTGGAAGGATTGCCTGAACCCTGCAGATAAAGGCTGTGGTGGCCAGGAGTGTGCCACTGCCCTCCAGCCTGGGAGATAGGGGATGATTCTGACTCAAGAAAAAAAAATGTCTAAGCAATTCTCTCTAAAGAAACAATGAATATGCAGTACAGTAAATACATTAAGCAGTAACATAATCGTTTATTATTATTATCAAGTGTTATATACCGTACGTAATTGTATGTGTCAGATATTTATACAACTGACAGCACAATAGGCCTGTTTATGCCAGCATCACCACAAACACATGAGTAATTCATTGCACTATGACATTATAATGCCTTTGATGTGACTTAGCAATAGGAATTTTTCAGCTCCATCACTTTTTTGTGTCAGAGTTCCACTGTGTGGCCCAGGCTGGCGTGCAGTGGCATGCTTACAGCTCACTGCAGCCTCAACTTTCTGAGCTCAGGCAATCCTTCCACCTCAGCCTAAAGGCACGCACCACCACATTCAACTAATTTTTTGTAGAGTTGAGGTCTCATTAGGTTGCCTAGGCTGATCTTGAATTCCTGGACTCAAGCAATCTTCTTGCCTTGGCCTCCCAAAATGTTGGGATTATATACGTGAGCCCATTGCACCCAGCCTCCATTGTAATCTTATAGTACCACCATCATATATGCAGTCTATCATTACTAAAACATCATTATGCAGGGCATGACTGTATTTAATTTGTGTGCCTGCACATGTATGTATAAAATTGTGTATGTAATACATACCAAGTTTACAATTTTAGCCATTTTTAAATGTACAATCCATTGACACTTAGTACATTCACAATGCTTTGCAACCATTACGACTAACCGTTTCCAAAACTTTTCATCATCCCAAAAGAAAGCCCCATATCTATTAAAGCAGCCAGTCCCCATCACTGACTTTCTACCCCCTGGCCCCTGGTAACCACAAATCTACTTTTTTCTGTCTCTAAGGATTTCACAATTCTGAACATTTCCTATAAATGGAATCACATGTATGTGATGTTTTGTACCTGGACTTTTTCAATCAGCATCAAATTTTCAAGCTTCATCCAGATTGTAGCATATGTCAGTACTTCCTTTTAACAGCCAAATAATATTCCATTGTATATGGATATAACATTTTGTTTACTCATTCATCTATTGATGGATACTTGGGTAGTTTCCTTTTGGCTGTGGTGGCTAGTGTTGCTATGAACATTCATGTACAAGAACTAATTCATTTTAATATCCTTGACTCAGACCTTCTTTGTCTCGTGAATAAAGATATATGTCACAAAAAATAAGCACGGCAATGATGGTAACCAATGGAGTTGCCAGCAGATGGGGCCTGGCGGGAGAAAGTGAAGCTAAGTTAACCAGTATGTACTGTCCATTGTGTGCTGGACATTGTCCTGGGCATCTGGGATACACAAAGCACACTGGGTCCCTGCTTCCGCATGAAAGAAGAATAATCATCAAGTTCACATATAAATTAATCAGATCATTCCCAGTAATGGTAAGTCCTATAAAGGATGTAGAATATCCTAGTGATACAAGAGTCAGTCACCTAGGAGGAAAGCCACTAGACAGGGTAGTCAGGACAAGAAGTGATATCTGCACAGAGGCCTGGCTTTTATGAATTGCACTTTCCAAATGGAGACAAGGATGCACATCTAATGAGGCTCATCCAAGGCTTAAATGAGGCAATGCTTACAAACACAAACACAGACCTGGTCTATATATTAAATAAATGATGGCTGCTAGGATTCACGTAATAGTAAATTTAACTTTTCAACTGGGAACAGTGGTGCACGCCTGTAATCCCAGCACTTTGGGAGGCCAAGGCGAGAGGCTTGCCTGAGTCCAGGGGCTCGAGACCAGCCTGGGCAACTTGGTGAGTCCTCGTCTCTACGATAAATTTTAAAACTAAACAAATAAACAAAACTTTTCAAGTTAATAATACCATTAAAGAATAGTCTAGAGTACTGGGAGTTGTCATTGCTGATGGGTTTGGAAACTTGGCTTTTTCAGAGACCCCCAGTGGACTTCACAGACTTGTCCAAACTGCCCCTGTCTCTCCACGATCCACCCTCCCTTCCTGGACAAGCAGAGGAAATGCAGCCGCTTAATGAAGAAACGACTCCTAGATCCAGGGACAGCCCAGGCTGGTGCCAGTGTGGAAGCTGCCTTCCATCCCAGCTCCCTGAGAGCCACAGATGCCTGGAGGAGCTGTGCTGCCGGAAGAAGCCAGGGGCCTGCATCACCACCTCCGAGCCGTTCAGGAAGCTCGTTCTGTCCAGACGCGCCCTGCAGTTCCTCCTGCTCTACCAGGAGCCCTTGCTGGCACTGGATGCGGATTCCACCAACAGCCAGCTGCGGCACTGTGCCTATAGGTGCTACACCACTTGGCGCTTTGGCTCCCAGGACATGGCTGACTTCGCTATCCTGCCTAGCTGCTGCCGCTGGAAGATCCGGAGAGAGTTTCCCAAGAGCGAAGGGCACTACAGTGGCTTCAAGAGTCCTTACTGAGAGCATGGGGCTGCGGCAGTCATATTAACATTAACACTTGAACTTGACCTGGAAAGATCTGTGGCTAAATTTCAGCCAAAGGGAAATGTGTTTTCATCTCCTATTGCTCCATATGTCTGAGAGCAGAGTGCCCTGGTTAAACAAACCAACCAACCCAAATCCCTCTGCACAGACTGAGGACGAAGAGATTCAGATATAAATCTAAGTCTCTGTTCTGTCCCTAGGAAGTTGTATGACCCTAGGCCTTTGCCTCTGTGCCCCTGCCTCCTTGTTATCCTCTATCTCAGAGATTGTATGAGGACAGGTTGACACAGTGCACATGAATGGTCTTGTTCATTGTAAAAAGCTGCATGAATGCAAAAAGCATCTCATTATGAGGTCAGACTAGGATAATGTCCAACTGAGAACAAGCCCTTTGGGTACTGGTTGGAGAATGTAGAGGATTGAAAGTGGCTACAAGGTCGGGCTTGGTTGCTCACCTATAATCCTAGCACTTTGGGAGGCCGAGGCGAGTGGATTGCCTGAACCCATGGGTTCAAGACCAGCCTGGGCAACTTGGCAAGACCTTGTCTCTACAACAAATCAAAAAAAAGATTAGCCAGGCGTGGCAGTGCATGCTGGTAGTTCTGGTTACTTGGAAGGCTGAGATGGAAGGATGGCCGCCCAGCAGGTCAATGCTGGGGTGGCTATGGGTGTGCCACTGCACTCCAGCCTAGGCAATGGAGTGAGACTCCAACTCAAAAAAAAAAAAAGTGACTACAAATTCTTTGACATTTGTCCCTCAAGACCTGAGGGTTTTGTCCCCTCCCCTTGAGTATGGGCAGCTCTGATTGCTTTATCCAATAGTGGAGGTGATGCTGTGTCAGTTTCAGGATCTAGGTCTTAAGAGGCTGACAGTGTCCACTTCCTTCTTCTTGGAACTCTTGCTGTCGGTGAAGCCAGCCCCCATGTAAAAGTCTGCCTATCCTGAGACCGCCCTGCTGTGAGGAAGCCCAAGCAACCACATGGAGGGGAGAATGCTCAACCAGCCCCAGTTTTCAAGCCATCTAAACCCCATCACCTAATATGGGAGACAAGATGCCTGTGGGTGACCCTGAACCCTACTAACACATGACTGAAACTCCATGGGACACTCCAAGTGAGAAGTGCCCTGTCAATCCAGAAAACCAAACTACTATCTTAAGTCACTAAGTATTGAGGTTGCTTGTTTCATAGTAACCATAACTGGGACAGAGAGCAAAACTGATGAATGGGGACATAGGCTCAGCCCACACCTTCCCTGGTTCTAAGGTCTTTAGGGGGCCCAGATCAACCTTGGAGTGCCTCAGGAACTTGGGTTTTTTGTTTGCTTGTTTATTTTTTGAGTTGGAGTCTCACTCTGTCGCCCAGCCTTCCAAGTAACCGGAACTACAGGCGCGTGCTTCCACACCCGGCTAATTTTTGATTTATTGTAGGGATGAGATCTCACCAAGTTGCCTGGGCAGGTCTTGAACCCGCGGGCTCAGACAATCCACTTGCCTCGGCCTCCCAAAGTGCTGAGACTACAGGCTGAGTCACCGAGCCCAGCCAGGAGCTTGGGTTTCTTCTGGACAGAAGAAGGGCTAAATCTGGTAAACTACCGGACCAGCCCCAGAATCCATCAAACCTAACTACTGAGCTACTGATACATTCCAATCCTTAACACAAGTCTATGACTGGAAGTGACTACCACTGTTAGAAACTAGAAAAAACCAACTAGGTGCAGTGGCTTGTGCCTGTAGTTCCAGCTACTCAGGAGTCTGAAGTAGCAGGATCATTTGAGCCCAGAAGTTCAAGACCTGCCTGGGCAACATAGCAAGACCTTGTCTCTTAAAAAGAAATAATTTTTTTTTTAATTAGCTGGGCAAGGCTGGGTTTGGTGGCTTGCTTCTCCAGAGGTTGAGGCAGGAGGATCACTTGAACCCAGGAATTCACAACTGTGATGAGCCATCATCAAGTTATTGCCCTCTAGCCTGGGTGACAGAACAAGACCCTGTCTCTTTAAAAAAAGAAAAAGCTAAAGCCAAGTGTGGTGGCTCAGGCCTGTGATCCCAGCACTTTGGGAGGGTGAGGCAAGACGATTGCCTGAGTCCTGGGGTTTGAGACCAGCCTGGACAATTTGACAAGACCTCATCTCTACAATAAATCAAAAAATTAGCTGGGTGTGGTGGCATATGCCTGCAGTTCCAGCTACTTGGAAGGCTGAGGCAGAAGGACCACCTGAGCCCAGCAGGTCGAAGCTGCGGTGGCCATGAGCATGCTGCTGCACTCCAGCCTGGGCGACAGAGTGAGACTTCGACTCAAAAAAAAAGCTGCCTTTATGCCTTTGACATGCTGTACTCTGCAGCCTGTTAGAATTGATGCAGTCTGGATGTTACTTTAAAAGCAACCCACGAGCCGGACTCGGTGGCTCAGCCTGTAATCCCAGCGCTTTGGGAGGCCGAGGAGAGAGGACAGCCTAGGTCCAGGGATTCGAGACCAACCTGGGCAACTTGGCAAGACCTCATCTCTACAATAAATCAAAATATTAGCCGGACATGGTAGCACATGCCTATAGTTCCAGCTAGTTGGAAGGCTGAGGCAGAAGGACCACCTGAGCCCAGCAGGTCGAGGCTGTGATGGCCATAAGCATGCCACTGCACTCCAGCCTGGGTGACAGAGTGGGACTCCGACTCATAATAAATAAATAAATAAATATGAAAGCAACCCACACCCAAACCTTAACATTTCTATACATCAACCACTAAGAATACGAAAATGAGCCAGGCACAGTAATCCCAACACTTTGGGAGGTGGAGGCAAGAAGATTGCCTGAGTCCAGGAGTTTGAGACCAAGTGGAGCAACATGGTAAGACTTTGTCTCTACAACAAATCAAAAAATTAGCAGGATGTGGTGATGAAACACACCTGTGGTTCCAGCTACTTGGAAGACTGAGGTGGAAGGATCGCCTGAGCCCAGCTGGTCGAGGCTGCGGTGGCCATGAGCATGCTACTGCACTCCAGACTGGGTGACAGACTGAGATTCCAACTAAAAAAAAAAATATATGAAAATGAATAGTCATACGGTTTAGGATCCTGCTTCCTTCTCACGGTTTTGTCACTAGAGTTGGCTATTCATCTATTTCTAAACAATAACTCTCATAAAGAATAAATAGTTTAAGCCGGGCTCGGTGGCTCAGCCTGTAATCCCGCGCCTTTGGGAGGCTGAGGTGAGTGGATTGCCTGAGCCCGCGGGTTCGAGACCCACCTGGGCAGCGAAACCTCCTCT